ATTTTTCAACAATTGCTGTAAGTTACAATTGTACAGTAGTTTTCGAGCTTTTATTTAACTCACTTCTTCTGTCTGTCTGTCTGACTGTCCAGAAGTCTAGATCAGGGGTCGGCAACCTGCGGCTCGCGAGCCGCATGCGGCTCTTTTGGTGACAATGTGCGGCTCTTCAGCTCGGTGCACAAATATTCATAATTATATTATTTTATTTTTAAAACTCATGAAAATATTAGTCTGCAACATCTCGGTAATGAACGATATAATAATACATATAAATAATAAACACTCGCAATTATATTAGAATATTTAGTTACTCCATTTTTCAATGTAGGCTACTTCCTTATTGTATAAAACTGAGTTATGTAAATGTAAACAATGCCTGTGCTTGGATCATATTTATCGGGGCGCGGGTTTACCTACACTACCGCCCAGCAAGCCATAATATAATCACTCAACGCCTAAGCGTCGGTGACGGTAAGCGGCGCTCTCGTGAACCTGATGTAGTGTGCTCCTTAAAACTAAGGTAGGCGCGTAGTGTTCGCGGAATAGCCCTGGGCTCCAAATTGCACCCTGCAGAGACGCTGGAGGACGCGCCCTGATTTGATTTAGTGAGTGACCCATGGTATTGTAAATGAATATAGGCGCCATGGTGCTCACGGGTAAGCTCGGGGCGCCAAATCGCTCCCTGTCGGCGCGCCTAAAGGCGAGCCTGATTCGATTGAGTCAACAATCATTGTTGCCCATCGTGTCTTTAGTGTATATAGGTTTTTTTTAAACGAACGTAGACGCCATAGTGCTCATATGTGAGCCCGGGGCTCTTTGGGTCTCACACTAGACGAGGTGCTGGCGGCTGCGCCTGTTGCAGTTTTGCCGCTGAATATAGTAGTACCCCTTACCCGCTATGCAGGACGCCGATTAATGGATGCCAAGTGCTAACATACCCGCTCTGGAACTCTGGGAGCCAAACCGTGTATCGACAAAATCGCACCCTCCCGGGCGCTACCCATAAGAAATTTTTTTCGCAGAAATCTTTTTGGGAGTATTCTCATTTACTCTCCAAAGTTTCATGGGCACTAGGATGAACGGTGTCGAACCGCAACCGACTTTTATTTTTTTTATATACCGAACCCTCTGAAGGCGCCGCCCTTGCGAAATTAAAAAAAAAAAACATGTTTCTTGCAGAAACTTTCCCTGGAGTATTCTAATCTACTCCTCAAAGTTTTATGACGATCGGATGAACGGTGTACATTCGCAATCGACATTTAATTTTATAAACGAATCGCTCCCTGCCGGGGCGCCACCCCTGCGAATTTGAAATACTGCTCAGGAGTATTATCAACAAATTCCTAAAGTTTCATGGCGATCGGATGAAAGGTGTAGTAATATATATATATATTATATATATATATATATATATATATATATATATATATATATATATATATATACTATATATATATATATATATATATATATATATATATATATATATATACATATATATATATATATATATATATATATATATATATATATATATATATATATATATATATATATATATATATATATACCTAATCCTAATCACAGATTATAATATTGAAATTAAAATGTTAGCGGCTCTTTAAAAGTTGGGAAATTTGGTAAATTGTAACTTTTGGCTCTTCTGTCTCAAAAGGTTGCCGACCCCTGGTCTAGATCGAAACGTGAAGTGTGAAATTGCAGGCAGTTCTAATTGACATACGGGTACATGGGTCAAGACATGAAGACAATGCATTATGACATTAAATTTGACTTGATTGGATGCCTACTTAATTTTTTATGAATTAATTAAAATTTGGACCGAATTAGTAGGCAGTTCTATCCACACGCGTCATCACGGCCGTCTTGGGCGTGGAGCGATGGGGGGGGGGGGGGAGTCTCTACGACAAAGCGCGTCATCACGTTCAATAGGCGCGCAATGGTTTTTAGTCGGGTCAGCAGTCTAGTTCTTTACCACTAGACTATCCCATACTTTACTAAATTAAAAAGCTTGTAAAAAAAAAAATTAAAAAAAAAAACGTTTTAAACAAGCTTCTATGTAATAATGCACTAAAAAGTAGAAAATAAATTATACACTGCTATTTAAATAACTATAAAGAAAAGCTTGGGTCTCTTCCAAAATATTAGACACTACTATTTAAATTACTATAAAGCGTGGGTCTCTAGTCTCTTCCTAAATATTAGTAAAGGTATCCAAAAAATACTAAAGTGACCTACGCTTTTCTTTATAGTAATTTAAATAGTGTCTAATATTTAGGAAGAGACCCACGCTTTTCTTTATAGTTATTTAAATAGTAGTGTATAATTTATTTTCTACTTTTTATTTCTGAATGGCTTTATCTTTGGTAGGTCAAATTAATAACAATCTACATATTCTTGAGTATAAACTAACCTTACATTTTTTAACTTCATTAATTTAAAAAAAAAAAACATTTGGGCTTGTGTTTAAATTAAAACTCGTTATCATACAAGTTTATATTTTATTTTGCGTTTTTTAAAACGGTTTTAACAAATTGTAATAGGAATTGATCAAAATACTCTGTTAACAGAGTTCTGACAAGGTTTTGAAAAAAATATAGATGTTTTAAGAAAAATTCACAGCAATTTTTAGGGGGGGGGGGGGGTTATGCTGAGGTGTGACGTCATTTTAGGGGGGGGTCTGGCTTTGTGACGACGTGTGATGGGCAGGGGGGAAGAGGAGGTAAAAATCTTCCAAGAAAGCGTGACGTCGTTTATGGATGACCCCTAAGGCCGATTTAGTCAAACAGAAATGAAAAGGCTACAAGAATTGTCACAATCGATTAAAAAAATCAACTGATGCTTTAAGATTAATTATACCATTACCATAGATCATATTAAAAATTGAAGTTTATTTTTATAGAAAAACAATTTCTCATACATTTACATTTTTCTATGCAACAGTAAAATACAGTAAAGCTAAATTTCCAACACTTTTTACCAGTAAGGGAAATAACACAAAAAAATCCACCGGATCATTTGGATTATATCCCTTATTGTGTTCTGGAAAGAAATTGGGAATATTCTATAGACAGACTAAGAAAAATAGGAAGATATTTATTGCATCCGTTGACCAATAATTTGCCTTTAATTTTAATTGCAAGAAATCAGTGTAATAAATACAAACCCAAACACTAATGCAGAAATTCTTCCATGGCATCTCTTCACCCTAAAGAAATTGAATTTATATGGAAAACAAAAGTCTGTAAAACACTGCGCTAATGTATTAATATTCTTGAACCCTCAGTCAAAATATTTTACAAATTTACTTAAGCTTCGCAAAAATAAAATCAAGAAAAAAATATGCATAAGAACTTTTTATTTGACAATGATTTACAACTATTCCAGTAAATATTTTCACATGGGTTATTCTCTTGACATGGGTTATTCTCTTTGGCAAATATTTTAAATGAATAACTACCCTGAAAGCAGTAATATAATTGAAATAAAATCCATACATTATGCCAAGAGTCATAGCATTTAGCTCAAATGTTTCCTGATTTTAGAAAGATTTGCTTTTTAGTTATTTTTACTTCTGACAAATATAAAGAAACGCTCTAATAATATTATAAAAAATAAAATATACATAAAACATGCATATTAAAGGATAAAAAAATATCGTAAATTAAAAATTAATTGGTGCTAATTTATATAAAAGATGATTCCATTAAACGATTCAAAGTAAATATAACGTGTTTTACATCTGAGAAATGTAGGGCTAGCTAAAACAAAGGAATAAACAATTTCTTCGACAATACATCATGAGGCGGTTAAAACCAATGCAGTTTTATGTTAAAGGAAATCTACACCTACAACTTAGATTTGATAAGGGTGCCCTACCCTTGCTTTTTTTTTACACGTTACCACACGAAAATTTAAAAAATATTCTCTCAGGGGAAGAGATTTAAAAATATTAAATATTCAAGAATTAAATGCATGGCCACTTAGCATAGAATCAACAAATATATTTATCAAATGTACATTTAAAAACAGCTCTATTTACAAGCAGTATCAGATTCATGTGTTTATCCTCCGATACCTGAACACCAAGCTAACAAAACAAGTTGTGATGTTCTGGTTTGAGGCTAGACAAGCCTAGCAGTGATGGTTAGGACAGCCAGCAGTATAAAGATGGAACTATAGCCACACCTGAACCCACAACATTGACAACACTTGATCTGACATCCATGAAGAATTCATTGTATTCTTTGACAACTGTGGCTCTGTGGAAAGAAAGTGGACATTTGACATTTTGACATGGACATTTGACAAGTTTAAGTTTCTTAATAGGGTTTCTTTCAAACACTTTGAGGTAGGGGTTCAGAAATATTTCCCTGTGGGGTGGGGCTATAATTAAAGTTATTTTTAAAATTTAATATTTTCCTATTTTGTCAGTGAACCCCCCCCCCCCCCCCCCCCCCCCCCCCCACTCTCCCTGTCCCAGGTAAGATGCTTGAAAAAAAACATTACTTTATTACTGTAAATCCCTAAAAATTTCTGTCAAAAATCACTACTTGAATTATGGCCCAGAGATTCCTAGTTTAGCTACAGACTTCCAGCTCTCATGACTCAGTGGAGGGATATGGTCAAATATCAGAGCACAGGTCTGATTTTTTCAGTACCTCTACATGCAACTTGTGAGACTACTCAGCTTAAAAGGATACCCGACTGGTCAGAAACAAACCTGCTGGTGTAATCTTGACCTGATGGTACATCTACCACAAAGTCAAGCATACCAGAGAGCAACATTCCCTCTAAGGGGAAAAGTGTGCAACTTTTGTGCGCTGTGTTCTAAAAGTCTTGTACAAGAATATAAGTATTTTACAAAATGACTGCTGCAGGTTTAAAATTACTGCATGGCCGTGCAACTGCACAGCTTAGAGGGAACACTGTCAGAGAGTACTATAACCATTACAGACAGTTGCTCAAGCCCTTGGAAGGATTTGAACTAGGAACTAGAATGGTAGGCAACTAACATTTTATCTCAACATTTTGAACCTAGATCTAGCTGGTAATTGGTTCTTACCTGAATTCCAAGTTGTCAATGGGGTTTTTTGGTGCAGTCCAGTAGACTGTCTTGTTGGTCCACTGCTTGTGGACTTTATGGGTGAGGCCACCAGAGTTCTGATACAAGACATTAATATTTTTTTTTTACCAAGCTAAATTGCAAACACTACAGTCTATACTGCTCATGAGCATTGAGCGTACATGTCACATGTCTATAGCTAATATTTAACACTTTTTAGTGTAGGCATAGTTATTTGTTAATCTCTAAAAGTATAAAACACTGCTCTGCAGTAGGGGTCTATTGTCTGTTCTGAATAAAGCTGACTAAACTTAATTTTAGTCATTTTGGTTACTTTAATAATACTTTCCTTAGTGCTATATTAAAACTAAAACAACTTTAGAATATAGCCCTTATATTTCTGCACAGTTGTCCAATCCAAACTTACACAAATGGTTTTAGTTTCATCATCAGCCGTGAAGGTTCCATACTGGACTTGGTCGCTGATGTTGGTCTGGCCAGCCATCCGTACCTGGAGTGAGAACCCCTGGAAGTAGTGCTGGTCAGCTTTGATCATCACTGAAATTACAAGGAAAATGTCAGCTTTGATCACTGAAATTACAAGGGAAAAGGTCAGCTTTGATCACTGAAATTACAAGGGAAAATGTCAGCTTTGATCACTGAAATTACAAGGGAAAATGTCAGCTTTGATCACTGAAATTACAAGGGAAAATGTCAGCTTTGATCACTGAAATTACAAGGGAAAAGGTCAGCTTTGATCACTGAAATTACAAGGGAAAATGTCAGCTTTGATCATTGAAATTACAAGGGAAAAAGCTTTGATCACTGAAATTACAAGGGTCAGCTTTGATCACTGAAATTACAAGGGAAAAGTCAGCTTTGATGATCACTGAAATTACAAGGGAAAAGTCAGCTTTGATCATTGAAATTACAAGGGAAAAGTCAGCTTTGATCATTGAAATTACAAGGGAAAAGTCAGCTTTGATCATTGAAATTACAAGGGAAAAGTCAGCTTTGATCACTGAAATTATAATTCAAGGGTTTAGGCATGTCTAAGTTACAAAAAATGCCAAAGTGGTCTGAGGTCTACAAATCTTCCTTTGGGCTTAAAAATTAGTGTTACAGAAATATGACGGTAAGGGAATTGAAGAGGTATAACCTAGGGGTAATTGGAAAGGTTAATCTTCGGTAAGGTGCAAGCTAAAAAATAAAATAAAATATAGCCATATTGATAGAGCGAGAGAAATGGATTTCGATTTTGGGACAAGCTATATGAAGTATAACGGTAGTAGTTTCAATGACAAATGGTTGCTAGTTTCATGAATGGTCAATTGAATATATTAGGAGTAGTCATCCTCCCTCCTCCCCCCCCCCTCAATAATCTGTGGTCCTATTCAATCATGTGATTTAGACAGGTCAGAAGAAAACGTTCTACAAATAATGTAGAGAAAAAACAAATCTTCAAATCACCCAATCCAGGAAATGGAGCAAACCATCCTGTGCACCCCTCCTACTTCCACATTTGACCTACCTTCTACTTGACTCTCGGCTGTGATGGTCCCACTGAGAACATGGATGCTGAAGTATGGGGTCCCTCCCAAAGGTTCTTGCAGGGGTGATGACCAATTCCCCTTCACCACGTGATGCCCGGGTCGCATGGCTGCACACGACTCCTCTGGCGCCCCACCAGAGTAGGCCTCCACCATCAAGTTCAGTGCGATGGTGTGGCAGACGATAAAAGCAACGAATCTGAGAGAAGCCATTTCTGTCGATGTAAACATTTAGTATGCGATTAGAAAAAAAAAATGTTACAACTTTCGGTTTTGGACAAGGATACGAATACAAGGGGAAAATGGCAGAGTAACGCGAGTAGGCACTGCTAGAAACACTACAACACTCATGACTACGCTTTTTCTAGCTACGCATAACATTCAACAATAACACACATGCCCAGAGGCGTAGCGAGGGGGGGGGGGTGCGGACCGCACCGGGTGACACCATTTAGGGGGGGCGACACCAAGGCAAAAAGTAGCAAAATATAGAGAAAACTTGAGGGGGGGGGGGTGCAAATCGAAAGTTGGGGGGGGGGTGCAAATCGAAAACTTGAAAGTTTGTCGCTATGCCTCTGGGGGGTGACAACATTAAGCGCCGCACCGAGTGACACCCGACCTCGCTACGCCACTGCACATGCCTCATATGTTTTGAAAAGTTCATTGACAAAGAATATGAGAAATAAACATTACTGATGTGTGTGTGTGTGGGGGGGGGGGGGTAATATGTGTTTATGATGATGTTGAGCATCGCCTTAGGGACTCAGCTACCAAAATTTGCAGTTTCCGCTAATAACAATATACACAAACTGGTACCAGAGATTAAAATTCAAGCTGGTTATATATGAAATAGTTATCAATGCATATTTCTAAAGGCTTTGTAGCTGGTACTAAGTTTAATAGGTAACTTTTCTTTCTTGGGCCCCACAAGGCTGTGGAGGGGGGGGGTCTGGTTTACGGACCCCATTTTACTCCTGGAATTTTTCCCTGCGGCCTTACTTAGTGGAGGAGGGGGGAAGAGGGTCAGATTTACGGACCCATTCGGCCCCTCTCAACTTGCTGTCCAAGCCTTGCGACTTAAGTTTCACGGCAAAATCACCCAGCCGTCTTTCAAGTTGGCTGTTGCAGCCAGAATAGTGCATGTTCCCAGATTTTATCTGCATACATACTGATACGTTTACATATTAACTTATCTACATTCGGAATTTTCAGTCGAATTTTTAAAAAAAATATTTTTTTAAATCTGTGTGAACCAAGACGTGGCTGCTACTAAACTAGGTCAAGTTTGAGAGGGTTGGCCCCCACCCCTCCCGGTGGTACAAAAGCCACGCATTGAACAGTGTACTGTAAGCAAATAGTCTACTATACAAGGATCTTCAATGCTGGATTTATTTAGGTCAGGTGTTCCGGTTTGGGAAAGGTGGTACATACAGACCAGAATGTGACGACACTTAAATTTTAAAACGCTAGAAATTTAGTTTTTTCTCGTTTTTTAAAGTCGAAAGTAAAAGTGCAAAACCGTTCCAATTTAAATATGTGCATTTAGTAAAAAAAAAAACGCGCACAATCCATAGATTTTTTTACTTTATATGGAGGGCTGGTTAAGAATGTTAAAATATTGATCCTAAATGTAACCCTAACCTTAACTTGTGACTTCCTGCTCAGAATTATAAGCCAAACAGACCTAACTGAATAAGAGCATGATTACGGTTTTTAATACTAGCTACACGGTAGTAGTGATATCTAGCCGGCCCTTGAGCTCACGCAACAAATATGACATTACTGCTTTATTTCCATTTGCCCGTTAGTTACAAATATAACTTAATTTTTTATAGCCGATAGCTTTTTCTTTTCCGAAAAGCTGAAAATGTCCAGTAAAATGGGACGTGCTTAGCGTTATTTGAAAAGTAACCGGCTGGCGGTCTTGCAAAAATGTACATTACTTTGCTCAACTTCACGCCCAATCATTGTATGCAAAACAACGAATGACGAACAATCGTACAATTAACATCACATTTGCTTGACTAAATTTGTGGTCTAAATGTTAGGCTGAACTACTAAACACAGTTGAGTATTTAAAACACTCTAGAAATCCAAACAATAGGTAGATCTATATAGATTCTAAATACAATAGCCCAATAAATTTTTTTATGAAGTTAAAGAAGGTATATTCATGAGTTAGGATCTTTTTCGGTTTTCTAAAATTAATTAAAAAAAAAAACCGGGAAAATAAAACACGATAAAGGCTTAAAGATTAAAGAATTTTGTTGTTAAAATATGGCAAGAAATGTCCAAGCCTCACCTGTATCTTCCGTGGCCACTGGTTGAATGATTCCTACAGGTGGATGGTGGCAGGACGCTCAGGTGTGTTGGTGACGTGTAGCGCGCTCCAAAACTTTCAGGTTAACCAAGATGTCTACCATGGTCCCCCCCCCCACCACTCCCCCAACCCAGGCTTGAACACTTGTCACAAAAGAAAACACCCCGCGACACCCCATCTACCCCCACCCCCCTCCTCGTGCAACTGATCTCACGCATAGGAGGTCAAGCTTGTTTTGTTACGCCTGGGTCGTAGGACCTGATTACAATTCATCATGGGGGTGTGGTGTTGGTGGGGGGAGGGGGGAATGGAAGGGGAGGTACTCCTTCAAGACTAGATGTGTGTGTGTGTATGTTTGTTGACCGTTGACGACAAAGGAAAGTGGGGGAGAGGCTTTGTATAAACTGTCTCACCATTCTAGCCTTAGTTCCTCCTTATCGCTCAACACATTCGTCAACAACACACATTTTTGTATTATGTTTTGAATATTTATTTTCATAATGAGGCACATTCGAAACGATAAAATAATTTTAATTAAATTATTAGAAGCTTACACGATACGCAACAAAATTATTTAAAGAAACACATTTCTATAGAGTAATGTGAAAAAAAGGGACAATAATATTTTGACAAAAAAAAGTGTGATGTAGATCTTGAAAAGATTGGCGTTTAACAAATAAGCAATTCAGCGGCAACCCTAGTAGGTTTATAGCGTCACACCTAGTAGGTTAATAGCCTCAAACCTAGTAGGTTTATAGTGGCAACAAGTGAAGGAATGCAATTATTAGATAACAAATTAATAAATTGAGGAAGATCAAAATAGACAAAATAAAAAATGAAACAGAGTGCAATTGGTCCGTTAATTGAAGCGAGTTAGTGAAGCCTTAGAAATCAGGAACAATGGCATTAAACTTAAACAAAACCGCGTCACAATTTGTGAAAAAGTCACAATTGCTTTACAATGTTTTCATACCACTACAAATCAGAGTTTCTTTCAGGCATCTCTTCGGGGTGGGGGCTAAGCCCCCCCCCCCCCCCCGAAATTTTTTTACTGCCCCCCGAACGAAATGAAATTTATATAATTTATATAGAAATTAAATACTTTTAACAGTGTCCGCCCCCCCCCCCCGAAGAAAGTCTACCGCCCCCCCCCCCCCCAAAAAATTTCAAGTGCCCCCCCCCCCCCCCGGAGAAAAAAGACTGGAAGAAACACTGCTACAAATCACATTGCTAAATGTAGTCACTTTTATACAAAACAAAGATTGTTACATGTTTAAATATACTAACATACAACAATTAGTTATAGCTTGTATGTTACAAATAATAGTATACATTATAATCTTCTATTTCAAGATTATGAACATTTAAAAAAAAAGATTTATTGAAATATAATTTTAATTTACATGACATGAAGTAAACAAAGCATTTATTAAATTACAAAAAAAATAGATTTTTAGCTCTTTCATACGGTTATTCATAACATTTTGAGTGATCTAAGACAATTAGCCAATAATGAATATTGAAGGTTTTGAAGGCGGCAAACACGAAAGGCTACAGGGAAAGTTTGAATATGTGAAGACAGCAGACGATCAGTAGCAGGAGTGGGGCCGGCACAACCGGCATGCCGGCACCGGTAACACTAAACACCGGAGAGTTGACGTCAACGAAAAATTCACGGTAACCCTTGACAACAGTTGCCCTGAAATAAACAGTAAACTTTTTTTTACACAGGAATTGTGAACATTTAGTGAGGTATTGTGAAGGAATATTTAAACACTGTGGGAAGGTGAATAAATAGTTGAACATTTACAGATGAAAACTGAACAAATATAAATATTTTATTAATTTTATCGAGGTCAGGGAAGTTGAAAAATTACGGACATTTCGTGCCAAAACTCGGATTTTAAAATAGACGGCGAAATGACACAGAAATTTAAATTTTCATCTGAATCTTTTATTCTAAGTAAACATCTCCATAGGACATTGACGTTATTTAGGAAACTTTTCTTTCTCAGTTTTTCGATTTAGTTTCCCCAGTTTATATCGTAGGGACTTATGGATATTGTGTTTGTTGTGTAAAATTGTCTACTGCTACTGTACATAATTCCAGTCTATCGTCTCCTGAACGTAATATAATTTGTATTGAAAATATTTAGGCTATTTTAACTTATAAATAGGATCTGTGGCATCTTCATTAAGGAGTCGTGTATTAAAAAAATATCACATTATGTGATATTGTCACATAACCTATGAGGCTTATACCAGCATCTTGCCTCGAGTTGACAAATAGCATGATCTCCCCTGTATAAGCCTCTGCGAGCGCCCACTGCCAAATGTTGTGTGTTCATGTACGATCCGCATCCAAACAGCCCTAGGGGACGCTACTCTACCCTTTCACCCCAACCACAATAAGGGGCCTACACTACACAATTGTCTGTCGTCTGATCGGTGTGTAGACCGACTTTTTAATGACCCGGGGATGATTCACGTGGGGTCAAGGTCAGAGCCTACCCGCTTGTTTCCGTACAACTTCCATAGTTAAAAAAAATATTGAAAAGGAAAAATTAGATTTAATTTTCAGTGTAGTGCACTTATAATATCTTAATGTATGTGTACACTACCTCAACATTCATCTTTTTTTTTCTTTGGGTAGAATAACGATTTTGTTTAAATTTTAGTTGGCTAACACAGAGCTAACTTCAGGTTGAGAGCAGGGTGTAGTAAGTAATTTTGCGAACAGACATTTAAAAAAAAATAATTGTCAGAAGTGGGATTTGAACCCACGCCCACATTCGTGGACCAGAACACTCATTCCGCTGACAGCGTTAAGGTTATTAACCTTGAGTCTGGCGCCTTAGACCACTCGGCCATCCTGACATGACACAAGTAAAGATTATACAGGTTTTAACATCACTTTTATATCACGTTATAGCCCCTTGTATGTCCTATAATATGCGGGTTAAAATATTTAGCTGAAGTTGTGTCTGCAGGACAAGACGTAGAGGTTTCCGCTTGATTAGCTTAATTAGACTATTATAGGTCACGTGATGGAAACATAGCAATACACCGAGCGGTTTAATTAGTTTTAAATTTGATAATTGAATAAATTAGATGCTGGCTGTGACATATACGTCCTTTAAAATATTAGAAAGGGTTAGAATGAGTAATCCGTTAAGTGAAGCATATGAACAAAAATAAATAGAGAAATATAGAAAGAAAGATAAAGAAAGAAAAAAAGGAAGAAAAAGAAAAAAGAAAAAGAAAGAAAGAAAAAAGGAAGAAAGCACTAACCATACCTGTTGAGTTTCCACGTATGATAATACATCTAAAATGAGGTGAAGTTAATTGACGAAATCAAATCGTTAAACCATATAAGGCATCTCGTAAATGTAGCCTATGATTATTAAAACTATCTTATTATTTATCTTCTTGCACAATCATCTCAAAGCTTTCAAAAGAGTTCCAAGACCTTTTCGGTGGAGGGGTCATTTATTTCTAGTTCGGTCAATGACAAGACGTTCCTGAACTAAAGGTCAAGGTCAGTACAAGACTTACCTGAACAGAAGGTCAAGGTGAATACAAGACCTAACTTAAGGTCAGGGTGAGTAGAAGACGTACCTGACCTGAAGAGCAGGTCAGTATAAGACTGAACTGAAGGTCAAGGTGAGTACAAGACTTACCTGAACTGAAGGTTGGACACTTCCTCATTAGGAGCGATCCAGGTCAAGGTCGTCGTGTTCCATTTAAAGTGCTTGGCGTGGGTGATGCCCTGCTCGTTCTGGGGGTAACAAAGAGACACATGAATCACAAATAAAAGCGTGTCGAGAAGAGACAAGATGTAAACAAAGACACAGCAGGAAACATTGCTTCTCACGATCAGGGGAGGTAAATATGATATTATGTAAATTAATGGTTATCGTTCTTTAAACACGATGAGTAATCCGTAGATTACATATTTTCCGTGTTAAGTCTGTTTCACAAGCTGCGTGGAAAATAAATTATATGTTACTATTTTTTCCCCAAACATTTCACTTAACATAAGATATATTAGAATTTATTACATTAAATTATACTGATATATGCTTGTACTCCTAGCGCATACTTAAAAAACAAAATATACGAGGTGGTGGATGAGGGGGGTGGGGGAGTGAAGAGATTCAATGTTCGGATTTCTACGATACACATTCAAATTTTCTCGCCTTGTTACCTATGGCAACAAGATGAAAACAATCGACCGTTCCGGCACTTACACACATCAACTTTGCGTCATCGTTCGTGACCTTGAACTTGCCGAACTTCCTTGCGCTGGTCAGGTTGGTTTCAACTTTGACCTCTCGCACCTGCATGGAGAAGCCCTCGAAATAGTTCTTGTCGGCGCGTATGGTCACTGGAAGAGTTCAATAAGTACATTGTCTTTTTTATTCTTCAAGCAAAGGTAAAATAAAATAAAATAAAATCAGTCGTAAATAGTTGAATATGTACATTGTGTTATTTATTCTTCAAGCAAAGTAAAAAAAAAAAGTCTCAAATAGTTGAATAAGTACATTGTGTTATTCATTCTTCAAGCAAAGGTAAAAAAAATACAACAGTCGTAAACAGTTGAATAAGTACAAGCAATGGTAAAAAAAAACAGTCTCAAAATAGGAACGAAACAATATAAATGATAATAAGCTTGTAGTAATACACATTTTAGTTTAGGTACAATCGTCTAGAGTCTAGAGTCTAGATTTATACATCAACCTTAAACTCTAATTATAACTCAAGCTACAGGTCAAGCGCAGTTAAAAAAAAAATCTAAACCATAACCACAGCCATTCCACATAGTAAGTCCGAAATCTTTACCAGTTAAAAATAATGCAAATTATGTTTAACTAGTGAAAATTTAGAGTCCGGTATTTTTACACGATTACATTTCAGTCTATACCCCGTATACGAAACAGTACAGATGACACGAAATTTTTTTTTTTAATGTTTTGATTGTTCAATGGACTGCTAATATTGGACAAAAATATCATTAAGTGTTAGTGTTAGCTAGTTGAAATCTTTAACTTCTATGTTGGTCAGTTGAGGCCTTTACCTTCTAATTAAAATCTTACCTTCTAATTGAAATCTTTACCTTCTAATTAAAATCTTACCTTCTAATTGAAATCTTTACCTTCTAATTGAAATCTTAACCTTATAATTGAAATCTTTACCTTCTAGTTGAAATCTTTACCTTCTAATTGAAGGCTTTACATTCTAATTGAAATCTTTACCTTCTAATTGAAATCTTTACCTTCTAGTTAAATCTTCACCTTCTAATTGAAATCTTTACCATCTAATTGAAATCTTTACCTTCTAATTGAAATCTTTACCTTCTAATTGAAATCTTTACCTTCTAATCGAAATCTTTACCTTCAATAGTGTCCCCACGTTGCACCTTGTCCTTGTTGATGAGGATGGTGAAATAGACCGGCAGTGTGGACGGTGTCTGCAGGGGTACAGAGGTGTTTCCTTTGACCGAGTAGTGGAAGGGCATCATGCTGCCACATGTGCCTTCTGGTGCCCCATCAGGATACGCCGCTGCCCTCCCTATCACCAGTGTGGCCAAACACATCAACAGATGGCACGACATGGTGTGTATACTTGCTGTGACCTGCTGTGTTGGTAAAGCTAACAATACTGGAAATACTTGCTGTGCTGTTAATACTTGAAATAATGGATATATTGGCTGGTAACTGTTGCAATAATGAATATGCTTGCTGTGTTGGTAATGCTTGCTATGCTACGTATGTTACCCTAGGCCTCTTAAGATTTGTGTCCTGTGAAATAAACACAACAAATATTTACTAAACAAGAGAGCGTAACAAATGTCAACACACTGTGTAGAACACACACAGAACGTCTTGCTATAATTAGCCACACACATTGATAGTAGTGCCGGAAAATACCTGTCAATTAAAAAAATGACAAATTAAAATACCCTCAGGTGACAATTTAGTAGCACGTCAATTAAGGTAATTTTAGGTGGAAGTTTGATTAGAATTACTGAGGGGCTGGGGTAGGAGTTTATATATATATATATATATATATATATATATATATATATATATATATATATATATATATATATATATATATATATATATATATATATATATATATATATATGACGTCACGCGCCTGAAGATGGAGTAGACGTTGATTATGATGTGGTGGTCTAAAGCAGTGTTTCTTTCAGGCATGTCCTCGAACACACCGCAATAGTTTAGCTGATGAATAGAGAACCATAAACGTCCTGGTGATTCTTTAAAATAAATGGCCCTTAAGGATATGGGTATCTAGAGTTAGGGCACATTTCTAATGATAAGGGTAGAGTTAGGGCACATTCCTAATGATAAGGGTAGAGTTAATGCACCCTCCTAATGATAACTGGTACATAGAGTTAGGGCATATTCCTAATGATACATTTATTCACTTATTTTTTTAATAGACTATACATATTATGCGTCACTGTATTTCTGTACCAATAAGGGTGAAATATTTAACCTACGTGGTAAGAAATATCTGCAGACTAGTTTCAAAAGGTTAATATTAGTAAGTTTAGAAAGGTATGTATGCGAAAATCAAAGGTAGCATCGCTAAGTGTAATCCCACCTTTGTGATAAAGTGGGATTAAGCTTCTAGATCTTTATCGTACACCCAAAGCAGTTTAAAAAGTTCAAAACAAGATCAGCGAAACGTTGCCAAATTTTAATTCCCGCGGTATTATACTTGTGTGCGTATGTGTGTTAATGAGTACACTATTTTTCATAACTAAGTATTCTATATAGCTATTAATTTTATCAGAAAGAAGTAAACTGAGATATCAACAATCTGACTAAGATTTACTTTCACTTTCATCTTCTGTAAGCAACAAAAGAAAAAACAACAACACAATTTTGTTTAAAAAAATATTTTGTGGTCCTGTTTTCTTAAAGATTTAAATCTTGTCACCACAGGTTATGAAGTGTACATCCTAACTAGTAGCTCAGCCCGAAATGTGGAGGAACTGACAAAAGTTGAAAGACAAATCATTGCTGATAGCGCAAAGGTGTGAAATTTGCGGTACATAAATTAAGATAAAAAGGAAAACACCATCACCAGCGTAAAATAAAAACACAAATACCATCACTTGATTTGAATATTTTAAGATGGTATCAGGAGCTGACGTCACGCGGGGTAGTAGGGTAGTAGGGTAACAAGTTCTTTGTTCTTTATTGTCGAGTACTGCCATCTCGTTTTTATAACGTAAGTAAGTTAATTTATGTTTAACGACATACGAAACGTAGGGAAAGTCTTATGTAAAACTGTTTCTATTTAGTGTGTTAAAGAGTTTCATTTTCTTTTACAGACCGATATACTTACAGACATACTGATTGACATACAGACACACAGACACATACTGACATACATACGGACGGATAGAAGGGCAGACACAAAGATATACAGACAGACATACAGAAAAACGGACAGACAGACGGACCGACGGACGGAGAGACGGACAGACGGACAGACGGACAGACAGACAGACGAATAAATTAAGTTGTAGCGAATACTAGGTCTGTCCGGAAAGCTCGCCTTAATGGATGTTTTTCTAATTTGAGCGCCGAACACGGAAGTTAATTAGCGTCAGATAATTGTCGTTTAGATTTAGTTTATTGCAAGCAACTGATGGGGTTTTAACACGTACATATGTGGGGAGTCTACTGGATTAAGAGAACGCCCAATAAAAATTGTATATAGTACTAATAATTTTTTTAAAATGAAGGTCCGTGCCCCATCTAGTTTTTCCCTTATCTATGTTTCTCCAAACAATCCTGAATGTCCGTGTCCCCAAAAATCTTGAATGTCCGTGTCCCCAAAATCTTGAATGTCCGCGTCCCCAAAAATCTTGAATGTCCGTGTCTTGTCCGTGTCCCCAAAAATCTTGAATGTCCGTGTCCCCAAAAATCTTGAATGTCCGCGTCCCCAAAAATCTTGAATGTCCGTGTCCCCAAAAATCTTGAATGTCCGTGTCCCCAAAAATCTTGAATGTCCGCGTCCCCAAAAATCTTGAATGTCCGTGTCCCCAACAATCTGGAATGTCCATGACCCACCTCCTGGACAGTGTACTATTACCTGGTAAGTGACTACGTCACTCAGTGTCACCACGATGGTCCAGAAATGAGGTCAATGTAAGCCGTGTGTCATTACGTGAAGTCAATGTAAGCCGTGTGTCATTAAAGCATCACGTGACAGATATGGCCCGGCATGCAGCGAAGGACATTTTATCTGCTTGAGTTCATGTTACTTAATTTATTCTTTCAAATATTTCGTGCCTTCCAGGCAAAAACCAAGACCCTCAAAATAAAATTTAAAAAAAAAAGGCTTTAGAATTAACATACTTTGGTATTACTAGGTCCTTACGTTTAATTTTCTACATTTTTCTCCTCTTGAATCTAGTGTTTTTCATATGCATTTTTTAAAGTACGATTTTTTAAAATGAAGTAGTCTTTTCCACACAAGTAGGCGTTAAAACCCGATCAGTTGCTTGCAATAAACTTGATGTTCATTTTCTGGATTTGAAGTCATTAAAAAAGCACTTTATTTTCAAATTTTAATAGGACTTTATCTTACTTCTCATTAATGGATGCTGAATTGTGAAGCTACAACGCCGGATGTTCCAGCTTAGTTGAACACCTATATGAAAGAAAACTCAAAATCTAGACTTAAAATACCGCCTATTGTGATGTTGTATTACATTTTAAAATCATGGTTTCACTCACCAAACAGTAGTGCTAAGCTGTTGCTTAACTCACATTACAAAAAATGTAAAACGTTTGTGTTTTTCTCAACTCACATTACAAACACTTAAACTTTGGTACTGTTGCCCAACAAATTTACAAACATTTAAAACTAGTTCTAGCTCAGCCAGTTGGTGTAGCTGTTGAACACGACAAAAATAGCGCTATTATGCAGAAGAGCAACCACTTAAGCAAAAGTATGTTTATAGACGCTGATGTAATCAATGGAGCACGTCCCACCCAGCAGACATGTCGTCCAGCGGTCCACACCACTTGACCTTGATGGGCACCCATCCATGTCATTACCTAAGTAAAATAGTGTTCCTTTAGGTGACCCTTACCCTGCTTTTCTCACGTCTGTAACAATCGGACAACTTTAATTATAGCTATCCTATTCTTTTGTCGAGTTAGAAAGCAGATACGTTTATAAGGGTATACAATTATAAAGATCTTACAAAACGTTTTAACACCCTTATTTTTTTATTGCTCCTCCCATTTGTAGAAAGTTAACTACGATTAATGGACGTGTGTAACCGGGCGATAGTTTCGAACATTTATTTATCTGATTTATGCATGATGTATTGGGTGGTGGTGGTGGTGGCGGTGGAGGCGGGGGTTGATGGGGAGCAGTATCTAAAAAAGCCTTCTCTTTTTGTGAATATGAAGACATGTTTTGAAATAGCCCCACCACCCCCCGAAGAAAGTCTACCGCCCCCGAACGAAATGGAATTTATATCGAAAACACATTAATACTAATAGTTTCGCTGTCTGTCTATCTATCTATCTGACAAGACGCTCTAGAGAAAACACAAGGAAAATAAAAACATGCATAGTATTTCGAAAAACGAAGTATGACGTCGACACATTTAGCGCACAGAGTAGAAAATAATCTCAAGCCGGATAGTGCACACATTGATATGACGTCATTGATTTGGTCTAATTTGGTCTAATCTAAGTGGTTTGCGTGAAGTTTCTTTCATACAATTCTTCGGGTAGGGGCGAAGCCCCACCCCCGCGTAAGAACGTCTGAGCCCTCCCCCTCTCCCCAACTCAAAAGAAATTTCCTCATCGATACTCTATAATAAAATTACCGCCTAATTAATGTGTCTCATCTAAAAAGTGGTTTTCTTGCAATTTCTTTAATGCAATTCTTCGCGTAGTGGCTATGCGCGACACCAGTGTTTCTTTCAGACTTTTTCCTCCACGGAGAGGGGTGAGGGTACTTGAAATTTTCGGGGGCGGGGGTAGAATTTTCGGGGAGGGGGCGGACACTGGAAAAAGTAAATAATTATATTTCGTTGAATGGGACGGTAGACATGTTTTTTAGAGGGGGGGGGGGGGTGGGGGTGTGGGGGGGGGGTGTGTGGGTGGGTGGGGGGTGGGGTGTGTGGGGGTGGGGGTGGTGTGTGTGGGGGTGGGGGGTGGGGGGGTGTGTGGGTGGGTGGGGGGTGGAGTGTGTGGGGGTGGGGGGTGGTGTGTGTGGGGGTGGGGGGTGGGGGGTGGTGTGTGTGGGGGTGGGGGGTGGGTGGGGGGGTGTGGGGGTGGGGGGGGTGTGGGGGTGGGGGGGTGGTTTTAGTTTAGAGAAAAGAGACAGCACTATCAGCCTAGCGCCCGGTGTATCCTTCCTCAACGGGCCATTTTTCTCGTCTATAATAATAGTTTCGCTGTCTCTCTATCTATCTATCTGTCTGACAAGAACGCTCTAGAGAAAAGACAAGCAATTTAAAAACATGCACAGTAATTCGAAAAACGAAGTATGACGTCGACACATTTAGCGCACAGAGTAGAAAATAATCTCAAACCCAGAGAGTGCACACAGTAATGTAATGACGTCATT